GCTGATTGCACTGGTACAACATCAGAGAGATGTTCAACATTGCGTAAGGCCTGACTAGTCCCTTTGCTAACACAATCCACAAGAATGAATGCCAATATACCATCCCCCCAGGCTGGATTTGTTTGATTAATGTTCTTACTGGAAGTACATTTATACTCAGATCTAATACATTGTTTTGACAGAGTAACGAGCCCTTAAATTTGAGGATCTTGCCTGAAGGCCCTGAAAAAAAACTTCCGTCTTTTTGTTATTATGAAGCGACACCCACTTGAGAATTTTATCAAGCCTTTTTTTAAAGACCTTCTTTCATAAGCACATAAGATTTCAGCAGTTACTGTCAATTATTTCACCCACCTAAAAAGCAATGGTATAAAACCCTACATTATTTACTTACAAATGTTAAGCTCTTTTGAAACTCACTGGGACTATAACTGCGGAGGCAAAGCTACACAATGCTGGAAAAGCTAACAATGTGGTTTTAATCACCCTTCATCTCTAAGGAGCACTGCAAGGTGGTGACTGTGTGGATGTTATGGTCTCAATTACAAAAAGCAGTAAGCTCAGGTACTCAGCCCTCCAGTAACAGTTTTCATTCAGCTGCCTGACTTCAAGCACCCTTCCTGAAATGGATGCAGACCAATGTTTGACCTTGGATGAAAGGTATCCCAAGTATAAGGCTGCTTCAAAAGCAGTCTTAGAAATCTCTGCCACTGGAAGAGCTGAGAATGAAGCTCCTGTATGTCCACCCACAGCTTCATGCTCCTCTTACACATCATTACCCACAAACTTTGCATTACTTTGTAATGCGGTTTATAAAGGGCTCATAAACAGCCAGTGGAATCTTTAAGTACTTCAATATTCATACAGGTTTTAAAACAATAGCAAACAACCCTCTGTTACTTTCTACTTGTGATCACGTGAATCATGAATAGACGTGATTTTAAAGACCTGATTAGTACATCACAGCAGCAGGTTGCATACTTAACCACATTTAAACATTAAGTTTCTGATAAGCAGTGTTACCAGTGTATCTTTTAAGTCAACTATTTCTATTAATTATTTAGCTACTTCTGAGAACACTGATGTCTGCAAGAAATCCTAGTGGTATTAAACCTCACTGTAAGTCTGATTCTAGTTAGCAGTTCAAAATTAACACCACATATACTGAAAACAGAATTAAGAAACACTAAGAACATGTTGCAAAATAATGCTTGAAACGTTCACTCACTGGCATGAGCAAAGGAGCTATTGAAACAGCACAGAAACTGTGAGGAAACAATACTCATAAAAAGCATTCTTAAAATCACCATCCAAAGCACCTCTTGGAAACCATTTTTGCTCATGAGGTCACATCTGAAAGCTTGACGAGAGTATCCTAATTGATTTTATAATCTGATATCCAACAGATGAAGCACATGGATTTAAAACGAAGAGAAATAATTCCAAAGGATGAAACATTACACAAACAGAAGATCTTTCCTGTCGAAGCTATTCAGTTTGACTGGAGTTTCATTTCAACATGTCCCTTAAGACAGAAAAGCAATTAAAAAGATGCATTTGAAAACAAAATGCTTTGTCTAAGTAGTATCAGCCATCCCCATCAGTCTGAAGAATGAATAAGGAAAAGCCCTTATCTGCTAGATCTACGGAGGTGCAATCTTTGAGGTTGACATACTGAAAAGAGGTTAAGTCACTGCTTTAGAACAGCAGTAAATTAAGCCAAGTCTTCCATCATCTGTTAACCAAGAACTTTTCTGCTCCCCAGTGTCTACCACTGAGGTCCCAGAGCCCAAGTTTAGCATCTTATTTAGCAGCAGGGTCCTATCTAACAAGATCCTAGGAGTCTTCACTGCCTCAAGCCTTCTCCTGGCCCTCTCACTCCTTACCTCAGCAAGTCTTGAAGAAATCATTGAGCAATTTGCAGGGTTTGGAAGTGAACAACGTTGATAACTGCTCTGTGTGGACATTAACTATGCCAGCACTCATTTCATAAGAACAAGGAGTTTGTCATTTTAAGTTGTGCAGTGTTGTGTGCCAGATGACTTCTGCCTTCCTCCCTGGAGACAGCTACTGAGCCAGCTCTGAAAAGATGCTGCTTTACAGGCCACCTTCTTCTGGAATCACCAGATAGTCAAAACACTTTTACAGCCTTCAAACGATTAAGTTCTCTCTTTAAAACAAGACACACATAAAGCCATATCTCCACTAGGAAACAGCTTCCAGCTTTTTTGTTCTGCTCAACTTGTGAACCCAGGAGAACCTGCCTCACAGCTGCAGAAGTGGGAGCTCTTCCCTCTGTGCTTTGGCAGGGAAGATGCTGTGGTGCAGTAGCATCATGAGGAACAAGCATATTCCACCACCACTCGGGAAGTGTCTCCCTAAGAGCAGGCAGAAGAAAAGCAAAGAAAAGATGGTTAGGTTGTCTTTTCCCTCCTCCCCCCCCCCCGCCCCTTAGGCCAACTCATGCTTTCCTTGCTGAAAAAAGTCAGCACAATTAATGGGCAGAGAAATTAGACCAAAGGATGAGAAACATGGGGAAGAGCTGACCCTGTGCCTTCTCTCATTAAACAAGACTTTGTGTCTTTTCATGCAATCCATAGAATATTAAACTCTACATACTTTAGAGTTGGCCTGAAGCCTAACAAAACTGGAACCACCCCATCCTTATTGGCTTTATATAGATAGGTACAGAAATACACAAATCTGAGATGATTCATGCTCTCTGGAATGAAAGGCAGCAGGCACAGCTTTGCTTAAGCAGAGATATTCATGGGAGCAGGCAAAACAGACTGAGTACTCTCATGGCTGGGAAAAGACACTGAAGGTTTTTCTTGGTAGCTATCAAAAAGGAAGAACATTACTTAAAAAGTGAGCAGGGAGGTTGGTAGGGCAGCTGATCCCACAACTGAGAGAGGAGTCCGGAAGGTGTCTAGACCAAACAGGGTTTAGCTCTTCTTCTGAATTGGTGGTCAATTAGATCAAAACTTGTGAAATAAGTAAGTTGCCAAATGCCTAAAAATAAAATATACTGCTCCCACCTGCATAAGTCCTGATCTTATTTCTCTTCTACAAGTAGTTACCAGTTTAAGTTATTCTAGGCATTTCTCTGCATATGGTACAACCAAAGGACAAGGCAAAAGGTACAGTATCAAAATTTAAAAACTCTCCAATACACATAAAAATCTGAGTATTATGCTTTTTAAGAAAGCAAGAAATGCTCTCCACTTACAGGCAAAAAGTACTGCTAATGCAGTCTATATGAAATGGAAGCTCAAGATATTTTTAGCAATATCAATATATTCCACATTTTTCTTAACTACACAAGTGACTTCAGTGCTTTAATCAAAACATTACTTCAAAAATGCACAAATAAAACTCAAACACCCAAGTATTCTAGAATCATCCTGAAAGTATTTTGAGATATTTTAAAATCACCACTGGACATCACAGTTCCTAAGAAAAACTAGATTGTTTTCTAAAAGTTTGATCTCAGACAGACTGGTGATACCAAATGAGAGAAGGACTGCAGATTTAAGGGTGTTAATGTACTTTTTCCACACAAAGTAACTAAGCTCTGTAGAAAGAAAGCAATGTCAGATTAGACTATTATGTTGCTCCATGGACTCAAAATTCATTGTAGTATATTTTTGTATTGCACTAATGAGATGCTTAATCTAGCTGAGCAGCTATACAGATGTCTGGCCTTCAGAAGCCAGGATAACCATATGTCAAAGTTCTGTGGTTTTGCCACTTGATATTTTGGGTGTATGCCTTCATTTGTGATAATAAATATCAGGCCACAAACTAATGTCTCCTCAGATATCTAATATGTTTAACACTCAAAACAGCTTGAAAACCTAAACATTTCTGCTGTTAGCTTTGAGTTCTCCTCAAAGAATTATGCTACAATATATACCAGATGAACAGGCTAGGGATAACACAACCATTGCCAGTTGTTAGGATGGGCTTCTCTGCCATTTTGTATGTATATTTTTTTTATCCTGCAGTATACACAAAGTTCAAACCCCTTCCCCTCCTCAGTGCCTTCATTAGGAAAATCTAAACCCCCTGCCCTACAGTTTCACAGTGCAGTGTCCTACTACACATTTCAAAGCTGAAGACAGAAAATCTGAAAGTTGCTCCTAACCCTACCTTGTATATAAGCACGTACAAAGAAAGGTTTGTATGTAACACGTCTGTAGAAACAGAATATCACTATGTATTATGTGTATTAAGTATCAATTAATAAGCCCCAAGGCGTTTTCTTCACATACGGGGAAATGCAATAGCAAAGTTCAACAAATAACACAGCATCGGCCGGCCAGTCTGGAACTGTGAAGGCAGCAGAACTCAACCCCAACCTCTCATTTAGAAGACCTTAATCACAAAAATGCACTTCTTTCTGTATGTATATGCTTATGTAGAATACATTCTTATTATGTATATTAGCTTCTGTATCTTTGCAATCAAATAAGTAGGAGAAATTGCTGTCGCTTGAACAAAGCCAGCAGTATTATGCTAATGGATGTCTTCCAAAATATGGTAGTGTTACAGTACTCACCTAAGAGGAAAAGCTTTTGTTTGACCTTTTACAGACCCAAGGAATTAGCATTATAGCTGACATCCTGCAGGTTTAGTATCTCGGAGGTCCAACTCCTTACTGAAAAAGGCCAGAACACCAGAACTGCAAATGAAGCAACACTGAACACAATTTTATGCAGTATTGCTAGAAAAGCCCTCACTCGTCCAACAAAAATAATAGCAAGAACTGTCCTGTCCTCTCTTACCGGTCTCTTAGCTTAAAAAACTTCAGACTTGCAACTGGAAACATATTTATCAATATAAATGCCAATCAGTGGGGTCAAGCCTCTCATGTTACAATTATGTTTCCAGAGCTGTCTCCAAACTAATGCCCCCAAGACCAAAACTATCACATTAATGGTTACTTTTATTATCTACAAAACCTTTTCTGGCCAAAGTAGCAGTCTATAGGAGTCTGATAACTTTACAAGGTGACAGTATTTCTGTGTTTACTGTGAGCCATTTCTATCGCAAATTGCTAACAACTTTTCAAAGTGCAACACTGATTTGGAAATGCAGGCACACTAATACATCAATTGCCATGACTAATGTATAAACTTTTAATGACCTTGGCAAAATGGTTCTTTCATTGGGCAGGTGCCACTATTTTGACTGTACAAATTGTTTTGGAAATATGCTGAAAATTATACATGTTTTGGAAAATATTTCAGGATTTCAGTATAGCAACTGAAGCTATATTAAATAAAAGTTTAACGTGGAGAAGAAAACACTCTGAAGTTGTGCAAGTCTTTTTTTTAAAAAAAAGATATAACCTCCAAGTGTTGTACATTCACAGAATGCTGACTTTTTATCCCAAGCTAAGATAAAATATCTTGAATGGTTTTCGGTTTCATTCAGTCACTGTCATCTTCTTGTTTCAGACCACCTCCTTGCTCAGGACTGCCCTCTCCATCACTCTCCTTGTCCCAGTCTTTCATAGTGGCTCCCATCATGAAGTCATCACGCAGTATGTTCCATTCTGGCCCCTCTTCGGATTTCACTTCACCCTGGGTGTTTGAGCAGAGGGGAAGAGGGAACAGAGGAAGATGAGTGTGAAAGGCAGCAAAAGATGGAAGCTCTTCAGGCAATCTAAGTAACACCTCTCACGCTCTTACAGTTTGCATCAGTAGACCTACCAAGGGCTAGCTCTTAATGCAAATGGTACACAGGAATATGCAGGACAATCATAGATGATTTGATAGCAAAAGCAAACTTGTTTTAACCAATCAATGAAAGAAAGATGGAAACAAAACAATTATTCTTTGTGGATAAAACAGTCAACCCTGGGCATGGCTTCCTTTATTAAAATCTTTTCTGGCAATCAGAATGGATTCATGATATCATTTATTAACCCCCAGGTGTTGCTTCATTAGAACACTTCCTGGCACATTTTTAAAACACAAATATGGATTGAATAAAGCCTTAAACACCCCCACCCCCACTTTAATATTTAACATATTCTGCTATACATGAACCAAATCCCCCTTTATGTGGAATATTATCTCACTACCTGGGCTTGTCATATGGTGCAAAGCTGCCTCTAAAAGAAACAGTTGACCTACACTCTGTAAGCCAACACCACGTTACTCCAAATTTCCTACCTCTTGGAAGTGTCTAAACTGAGGCTAGGCTACACAGACTGCTGAATAATTAAGAAAACTGACAGGAGAGTAGTTTTAGGTTCACACTGAAAACAGGGCTTGGCTGCAGTTCTTCCAAGTGACAGATCATATTTAGGCAGTGCAACAGCCCCATCCTGTGGCAACAGTTTTAAAGAACAGCTTGAAGCTATTCCTTCATTCTTCCTGAAGGAAAACAATAAAAACTGCTCCATGTACCAAAGAAGGATTGTTTAAGCCTTAGTAGCAAAACACTTCTGAGGAACAGTGTGGCTCGGTGTCCAGCAGGCAAGGAAAAAAATTGTCCTACCAAAGTGGAACCAGGGGTATTGAAAATAATGTGTCTTTGAAACAAAGTTAACACAGGCATTTCAGGTGTGCTTTTCCCAGTCCCCTGCTCAAAAAGACCCCTGCTCGACTGACTGACCCTACATTAAGTAACTACCACATCCTGATACTGTACATGGAGGTCATCTGTTACAGCATCCTCTGCAGATGCAGGTTTGCAAAACCTGTAGTAAAAGTGTATGACTGCTGCAGACACTTGTTCCTAGACACATGAAAAAAAGGTATGAACATGCAATACACAGAACCACAGAATAATTAAGCTGATGTCTGTGCAGTCTTTGGGAGAGAGCAGCACAAAGAACACCAGGCGGAATGCGGGCCAGAGAATGCAGGTCCGTCGCTGTCGATCTCACGTATCACATCACACTGACAGAAGTCATGAGTGCAAAAAGCCTGACAAACAAGATGAGTATTTCTAATGGTAATCTAAGCAGAAATGCTAAATGTGACTTCTGCAGCTCTTTTTGAAAGATTGCTCTCACAAAAACAGGGTAACAAGTCTTAACACTTTCCTTCCCAAAATGATTCTTCAAGGGCCCAATTCAAATAAAGATAAAACATCTGATCCTCAAGATGTCTGCACTGTGTTTTGGTTTTCATCCTCACAGCTGCTCTCAATGCCTACTCCTAAGAGTAAGACTCCCATCCCAACAATCCCCATTTTCCCTGAGGTGCTGCCTCCTAACCACTTTCCACTAATGCAGCAATTCACTTCAAATGCTATACCCAGTAAAGCCTAAAATCATCTCCAACAGGGTAATCAATTACCCAAGGGAAAAAAAAAAAAAAGTTAGAGATAAGGTAGGTCCCTAGGCAGACTTTAAATGTTCACATGGGAATAATCTGTATTAGTGCAAAACAGAGGTACTCTGTTCTGCAAGGAGAGGGCAGCTTCCCCCTGCCTTTTAAACTGTGTTTCAGTTTTTATGTTTACCTCTGCAGAGTTGGACAAATTACAAAAGTCACCAAGCTTTTTCTTTTGTAATCCCAGATCTCTTATACATTACTGTTTGAACATGCCACAGTTACAGTTGAAGTACCTAAATCTCATCTTCCTTACAAAACAATCAAATTTTCTTATTTTTTCCAATAACAATAAAACCAACAGAGATTCCTTTTTTTTCCCCCCCATATGCATAGAACAGGGATTTTTGGTTTCGTTTGTTTTTTTGTTTAAAGATCACCGAAGCACTAGATTATTGTCAGCAATGGCAGTGAAAGGCTCAAGGCCTGAAAAGCCCAGTGCTCAAATTCATCACATGCTACTATTCAGCAGCCATTGGGCCTTCCTTCTGGCTATGTCAAGTGAACAACAGGACAAAAGCAGGCCCCCACAAAAGAGGGATGCTGATCCTCCATGGCATTACCCACTATGTAAGGCACCACAAAGGTTTAAATAGAGTTTTACAGCAAGCTCTAAGAAGAAAGACAGAGGTAGCATGTCCATGCCTCAAAGACGATGATTAAATGCTTGAAAGCAAATGTTTAATCAGCTTTAAGCATGGTCCCAAGTGAAGAAAACCCCATGTTTAATATCTTCATTCCTAACTAACTTACTGCTCTATTTTCCCCTCAGAATAAAAACCTCCCCAAATCCATTTTATCACAAAACATTCCTGGAGTCTTAAGAAAATATGCAGGAAGACTATTTGTATAATTAACAATTAGTTCAAATGTAACATCGTTTCCCAACTTGTTTTATGTAAGAATGTTAATACACTTGGGTTTTCAATGCCATAATCTGGTTTCATCTAAATAAAACAAAACTGATTCTTGGCACGTGGAAAATAAACCAGCTTTCATTCTATACAACCTCTTTTGAACTTCCAGTCAGCTGTTCATCTGCATCTCCCACATTTCACTACAACACTGATGTCCCTTTGAACATCCTCAAAAGAAAACAAAGCAGGCTATAGAAACATCAGTGTGTAATGTTACATAAAGCGGATCCTTTGATAAGGCATGCGGAGTGAAAAACTGTGTTGTTTTTTTTTCCCCACTCTCCTTTTTTACACAAATTTCAATGGGTTTACTCTTTGCCTGAAGGTGTGGCACTCTACTTCAACAGGTAGGTGAGAGGCAGCAATGGGTAAAAGTTCTCAGGAGTCATTAGTACATGTTGATGTACCTGTTATCATGAGCTGAAAGAAGACAGACCAAAATGTGGAGTGTGGTTACTCTAGTGCAGGTGCTTGTTTGCTGGGACAGACCAATAGTCCAGTAGACAAGAGGTCATATAAATAAAATAAACTTCATCTTGCCTGCCTGGTGTGCCACCTAAGCTATGAGAGCATTAGTTCAAGTCTGACACAAGCAGGGCTCTGTGGTGGTGACATACCTGCCAAACTAATTGTTTGAAGACATACCCTCTAAAATCTGCACCAGGACAAAAGATGAACAGAAATTCTTAGCTAACTCTTAATAAGACCAGCCACCCACCCGCTCACCAAACAACAAAGCTCAGGTCTGTCACCTGGAACAAATACTGTCCCTTGTGGAGCTGGGGCTAGAATTGCCTCCTGGATGCTTTTGGAGGAATTAGTCTATGAAAGCACTACAGGATCATCGTCAGCAGCTATATGATCAAGTCAGAAATCTCCCTGTTCCGGTTCATTTCTTTACCACTGAAAAAATTTGGAGTTACATAATTCACTCTTGTTAAGTATCTTCAGCTGAGACCTGCCACGCTCAGCACCGGAGCTGCAGACTGCAGTGCCACTCGGGTGTGAGATCGATCCTCTCCATCCCTTCTGGAGTTGTCAAAAGCAGCAGCAGGACACTTCTAACTGCACACAGCTGCTTCAGTCTGCAAACGAGCACCTTAGCTCAAAGCCTGCTTCCTTGGAAAGCTTAAAGGAATTCAGTTCAGTCTATGTCACATTTTCATCTGTTCCAGAGCAAGAAAGTTTGTCAGTTTTTCAGAACCCTGCACATAAGCAGACCAAAGTACCATAGTGCTTATTGATAAGTAACAGCAGAAAAAGATAAGCCTTGAAATCAGAGCACACAGATTAAAGACAGCATTTCACTCCACTTTCCACCAGCTCATGTCATTTGAACATGCCCCAGTTTCTGCACCACCAGAACAGCAAGCACACCTACATCACCATAGGCACTCCCCTACGGCCCACATCCAGAGGATGCTAACTGCAGGGTATTAACAAATGAACATTTTTCAGACCTAGGAATAACAACCAACATGCTGGGCTCCCACGCCTTTGCTGTGTGTACAAGATGAAATGCCAGAGCTTGCAGGGGCATCTCTCTTTACCATCACATACAATAAATGTTTATTTGTACCTGTCAAGGAAGGAATTTCTAACATAAACATCTCTCAAACAACAACTTTAAGTCCTGGGAAAACAATTCTAACATCTCTAATTAATTTGAACTGCCTCCCCAGGTCCCTCTGTTTTGCTCAATACAAACATCTAAGACCTTCAAATACAAGGAGGGTTTTGTCACTGTGAAGAAGTTAAAAAGTGTACTGCCAAAATGCATTCTTGCGTCTATCTGACAATTACCTTCCCTGCCAGCCTGCACCTTGCTCCAACTGACTCCTGCTATTCTGTTTCTCATCCCAAACCACATCTGTTTAAACCTATGCCCCCCAAATCCCTCCAAAAACAGAGCACAGGGACACAACGAGGTGTGTTAAATCTCAATTTTAAAAAAAATCTACCAAAAAAAATATTCACTTGTTAGAAGTGGGAAAGGAAATGTAAACCAGAGAACACCAGCATAATCATGTCTCCTAAATTCATTTTCTGAAATATCCAAGCTCACAGGTTACGTAAGTTTCCTCTAGGCTGGGAAGAAATAAAGAAAACTACAGCTGAAGTATCCAAAGAGGCATTATAAGCACAAAACAAGACGCAATGATTTTTACCAGACAAAAAAAAAAAAGATACTTGGGTTTAATCATCATTGCTGCTTGCAACATTATCCAATTTGAATTACAGTGAGAGCTTGACTAGAAGATAGGTTCCTATGTACACCTGATCCCAAACAAACAAAAAACCCCACGGATTTGGAAACGG